TGCTAGATTTCACTAGGGCTTTTCAATTGGCCAATCAAAGAGAAGGTAACATTTTTCATCTTACAGCTGCAGTAAATCACGACGTTGACATATCAGACTTCCGTGGTCACTTGCCACCGATTAAGTTCAATTTTCTTATAAAATTAGTATATTTCGAAGTAAAACTATGTTTTTCCACTTCTACAGTCAGCACCGACATTGTAGTAAACAAATGTTACATTTTTTGTTTTCCTACGTTTTAAGAGAATTCTAAGAGATACTGTGTAGCTTTCCTTGTCGCTCCGTAGATTGAGAAGCGATGCTATTTTTTTTTTTTTTTTTTTTTGAGATATATACAAGAGTTGTTACATTCTTGTAGAGCCACTAGTACGCGTAGCGTTTCGGGCAAGTCCTTAATCCTATGGTCCCTGGAATACGATCCCCTGCCGCGAAGAATCGTTTTTTCGTCCAAGTACACATTTTACTGTTGCGTTAAACAGAGGCTACAGTTAAGGAATTGCGCCCAGTAAATCCTCCCCGGCCAGGATACGAACCCATGACATACCGCTCGCGGAACGCCAGGCGAGTGTCTTACCACTACACCACGGAGACTGTACTTATGTATATATTTACTTATGTATATATTTACCCAAGGACCACTAACTATCTAGTAGCCTCGATGAGGACAGAAACCCTGCGGCTTCTTAATAAAGATCCCGCCAATTGTCCTGATGATATTTTCTAGCTGGATTTTGGCATTTACGGCTTCAGCGAGTAGATTGGCAGGTGACATGGGTTTATAACCCTCTGGGTGAAAAAAATATTTTCCTGTTTCAATCCTACTTGAGAGACATACTCTCCAACACTATATCTGTGATTCCCGTTATCAGTGACTTTAGACCAAATTGTATGAGGTACTTTGAGCTCTATAATTACTTCATACACTCAAGAAATACTGGAATATATTCTTGTGCTGTATCCAAACTCTGCTAGTGGAGGTTAATAGATCAGCCTTACAGTTCTTGTTCTTCTCTGATTCCACGTATGACTGGCCGTCCTATGAGGTGTGGATATTAAATGAGCATGTAGCTGGTTTTTGAGCTACACTGTGTGGTCCTTCATACAGAATAGGGAAGCAGCACATTGCTGTGTATACCTAAGCCTCACAAAAAAAGAATTTAGTAATAAAAGTTTTAAATTATAGTTTGTATTATTACCAGTATTATCCTTATTAAATCATGTTAACCATGAATTATTAAGATCTCATATTGATATGTAATAGTTATATTTCTTTGTATCATTCATTAAATTGTGCAGTGTATTTCAATTTTTCACCTCTTTGAATATACATGAACAAAAGATAGGATAAAAATAAGCCAGAAATATTTGTTACATTATATTTTTTATTTAATTACCCTGCATCAATAAATAACTGCATAACTGCATGCAAATAACAGCTGAGAGGATTAGTTTCACTCACAGGTGCACTTATCTATTATTAACCAAATTAGGTTTATTATTACACACAGCCAAATTGTGTAACAGAGGAAGAGGACTTGGACACACATTTGTTCAATGTTACTTCTAGAGGAATCAGCCAAGCGATCTACCTCATCATATAATGACAAACTTAAACCATCGTTGTTAGACTATGACTAATTATAGGAAGAAGGATCTTCAGTCTATAGTGTGCACACAGATAACAAAACAGTACTGTAGAACATGCAACACAATAAGTGTTGAATAAAAATACAGCAAAAATGATGTTAGGTAAGGGTTCGTCCAAGTTAAAATTTAATAATAACTGAAAAAACTGTTGTAATTAATGGAGTATGAAGGCGTATAAATTGTAAGGTGCCTGACTGGGGCGTTTTGGACACAAGACGATTTGACAAAGCTCATTTTCTCTTTGATAAAATTGTATTTATATATATATATATATATATATATATATATATATATATATATATATATATATATATATATATATATATATTGTTATGCTAGGCTGCAGTAGCTTAGGTTTGACTGTACTGGGCTAAGCTGGGTTTGGTTAGCATGGGTTGGGTTGGGCTAGGTTGGGTCGCTTGACATTGAGTCGGGTTCAATCTCAACTCACAATCAAGAGTTCCAGGTTCGAAACCTGGGCGGCAAAGAAATAGTTGGGTGCATTTCCTATCACCTAATGCACATGTTCATCTAGCAGTAAGTGGGTACCCAAGAATTAGTCTGCTTGTTGTGGAGTTCCATCCTTGGCAGGGTCAGTAATTTGACCTTTGGGAGGGGAAGACCGCGATATAAGCCTAACATGTATACATACACTCTGGCTGCCTGTCTCCGACACAATGAATTATTATTAATTATGTATGTTAGACTTGCATCGAGGTCCTCCCCCCCCCCAACAGGATGCAGCCTCACAACAAGCTGACTCTTAACTCCTGAATAGCTATACTTACTGCTAGGTGGACAGAGGCATCAGGTGATAGTAAATGCTTCCAAGCACTCCTGTCATCACCTACACTCATATCTCAAGTTCACCAACGAAACAATATCTTGCTGTTATAAATCTAAATAAAATATAAAAAAAGACATATTTACTACAAGTTTCAAGCTGAGAATGCATATATAGCTAACATGAAGGACTCCTCCTTGATATCCTTATATATTCATAATAGAAATTAATTTATTTCCCAGAATAAATTATTTTTTCCCCTGATGTAAAATACATATAATTCAGTCTTTATTTAGAAATCTTACAATAAAACAAAAGGCTACAGGTGTTCCAGCTGAAGCCTAATCAGCGTGATCAACTTTATTGATATGATGAGACTACTCAGTAAAACCGTTTGTGTATATTAAAATCGATCCTCCGGTTTGTGCAGTAGAGAAAAATTTAGTAATATCCAGTTTATGTAAAGCTACGACTGGTCTGGAACTGTCGTATGACCACACGGTGTTCTTAAGAAGATTTTCGTTCTTAAATGCCTACCTTAATCCCGACGTAGCTGCCATGAAGATGGTAAGAGCAAAAACGTTCCTAAGTACTTGCGTAACTGCTTCGTGAATCTGGCCCCGGGTCAACAGCCCCTAGACATGTTTGTTACCAAACCGTACTTTATTGCTCGTAGCACTTCACAGCGACAAGAATTAAATGGTCTAGGGACATGGAAAGACGCTGTAATCTAACTGTGTGCCACCAAAGGGGAGCCGGTCGGCCGAGCGGACAGCACGCTGGACTTGTGATCCTGTGGTCCTGGGTTCGATTCCAGGCGCCGGCGAGAAACAATGGGCAGAGTTTCTTTCACCCTATGCCCCTGTTACCTAGCAGTAAATAGGTACCTGGGTGTTAGTCAGCTGTCACGGGCTGCTTCCTGGGGGTGGAGGCCTGGTCGAGGACCGGGCCGCGGGGACACTAAAGCCCCGAAATCATCTCAAGATAACCTCAAGATAACCACCAGTATAAACCCGTGGTTTCGAATATGCAAGAATTAGAATTAATAAATACCAGGAATAATTAACTACACATATAACATATAAAGTGTATATTAAATCAAATATAATATTCCAGGTAAGTTTGGCCAAAATTATAAATGAACCAGATAGCTTTCATAATAGTAAAATCACAAATTACTTATGTCTCATCAGACTAAATATACTACAACAGAACTAATAATATAAAACAGACACTTAACCATCCTTAGATGTCTATCCCTACGTCCATCTGCCAGTTACTGACTCAAAATCTCACGGCGGAAGCCGCTCCTCGCTACCTCCCAACATATCGAATGACAATTTTTTTTTATCAAATTAATTTTACTTAAATGGAGCAATATAATTGGGATAAGGTAATCAGTAAACCAACCGAATTAAGAATGATCAGGTTGATATGTAAAACAGAGGTAATGTAATTAATAATAGGAAAATATAAAAAAAAATAAAAAGGAAATTGACGGCAACTACACGACACAAGTTTTCCTGTACTCTACCAGGAAGTTTACTTGACATACACAGGTCTAATACCTGACTGGTAACGCCCCGCACTACTGTCTCTAACGGTGTTGCCAACTAGATGATACATTTAATAAATATAATATATAAGCACATACAAGTAATGATGAAATGGAACAAAATAAATTTATATATACGTATCCAGCTCGGGTACGTAACACGGTCAACTTGAACTTGGTCTCCCTCGATCATCGTAGTTAATGAGGTTGATGGTGTCATCTCGTGTAGCTTGATATATCAGGATAAATGCTGCTAATATCTCATGCAGTCACGAATTCAACCTGCCAGAATGTTACATTATAAAAAATGCAAACATCATTATAACAAATATTACATTTAAATTTGTAAGTAATTATAATAGATGCTTAGCTATTCCGGCTTTGTTGTTCTTTAGTATAACCGGCATATATCTTACTATATACCATGTGGCTACATTATACTTAGGGTGTGTTATACCGGAATCACGGCACTTCCCATTGACTGAGCCAGCTCGTTGTGGAAAATAGCAATAGAATATCCCGAAAGACGAGAACAGCCGCACTAGAAACTTCACTCGCTGGAGGTGCCCACAACCAAGGTAGCGTCTCCTCCCTTCACTTCTTCTCGTTTTCATTATCACGAGAGATATGGGAAGTTTAAGAAGGCGCGAGTATTAACTTATAATTTATTTATTACTATTGGGAATAATTGTTTATTTTACTTTATTTCTTAGTGGATTCAGTTCTCGGATTGAACACAGGGATATTCAAGTAGATAGATAAAACTCTACGACGCATTACTGCTGACTTGGCATTCATTTTCTCTTTTGATAATGAGATAATTTTTTTTACAGCCTCCTTTTTTATTAGGAGAAACTATAATTTCATATTAATTTATGATTAGTATACGGCAACAGAACAATATTTTCATGCTGCACGTTCAAGTAAATAAATATTATGCGTATAAGTGTGGGAAGTTCTCCCCACACTGCTCTCTACTGTGTGTTTACTTGGTCTCGTCTGGGTTGCTGTCAGATCCGTACCTACCCATGAAGTGGTGGTGGGAGCGGGTGGTGATGCTGGTGTGGATGATGGTGACGCTGGTGCTGACGCAGAGCTACGCCGGCAACCTCATGGCTCTCCTGGCTGTCAGACACATCCCTCAGCCCTACCAGTCCCTCCAAGACGTGCTCGACGACCCGTCAGCGGTGGTCATCACACAGAGCAACACAATAAACACCGAGTATTTCCGGGTACGTGGCGCTGAAGTCTCCTTAGTGAATCAATGGTCTCAGTCTCCGTTTCATATATTCAAAGTATAAGGAAGTTTAACAAAAACTTTGAATTTGGAGATTATGCACATTTTCACATTGATGTAAATATGTTTTCGGAGTATTATATGTGCTTCAAGAAATCCAGTGGTTGGAAATTTCGTACACGTATGATCCAAGGCAATTATTCACAAAGTCATACATGTTCAACAAACATAACCATAGCAGACAATCTTTTTCTGTTTATGTTAATTACTTATGAGATAAAGGAGCCAACCGAAACCTTCTAAGTAATTGTAAAACGTAAAGAGACGGAAAGATTTAATTACTTGAAAAATATCTGTTTAGGAAAAAGTTATTTTCTACATCGATACACAGGAATGAAGGCAGTTATGTGACATTGTGCGTATGGCGGGCGGTCTGCAAAGGTTTACACAATGGGAAGATCAGTTGTACTGTTAGAATAGTCCATTTTATCCATATATACTCAGTTTTAATGTATTTAATTTTTTGCCGTTTTGATGCACCTGTCCCCCCTTGTGAGACCCACCTGTATAGCAGCAGAGTTAATCTACTTTCGGACCCTAGTTCGTACTGGAATGTTCTCAAAGGTGAAAGTACTGGTCTACTGTGATGTTATTTCCAGCCAATGAGAAGAAGCCTACTTGAGGTAAAAATTCGATCATCTGAGTTTGTAATTGGTACAAAATCACTTATTTTTTACCAATCAAAGGGAGTAGTGCTGTTTTATATATGTCGGCACTTTCACTGTATTTTGTCTGAAACAGAAAGTTGGATAACTTGTAGCAGACATCTAAGAAGAAACAAGACAATAGTGGTGCACACCTGGCCTTTATATTTCCAATTACAAAGTACAGCGTTAAAAGCCAGGGAAGAAATGTGTCAAGTGTTGCTTGACCAGGTCATTCCATGCCGTGAAGGATGACAGGAAGGCTGGGACAGAAATTTGGGTGGCCGTGTGTACCCCAAGGCCAAGGAGTCTGACTGGAAGAGCATCCTGTTTCCACTGACAGTCGCTGAGGGAAATGTTGACGACTTTTTTTGCATGGTCTTCAGAAGGGAGTCATACTCTTCAAAATTTGGACTGTTATAAGATGGGGCACATCTCAAATGTCCTTAGAAGGGATAGGCATCTGATGCTAAAACGAATCATGAGCATCGATGGCACCAATCCTATCTTCCGTCCTTTTTAGGGCCGAAATTTTCTTTTCAAGGATCTCAAATTATTTCCAAGGTTTACACACCTACGTTACGCTTGTCACTACTGGCTCCTACTAGCCAGGCTGGCCTCAGAAACTTCACACGGTTACAGGACGCTGCAGAGACCCACAAATGAATCTTCCTGTTCAGTTGTTACATTTGAATTGGTGGTCCAAGACCATTAACGAATTTTTGTCTTGAATTTCTTTTACAATTAATAGAATCCGTTTACCATTCTCTTCTATCAAGATGGTCTGGGAGGCCCAGTATTCATGACGTTGTCTCTTAAACTCTAGAATTCTCGAGCACGTAAATTTCTTAGAATTTTTGGAGTTGGCGTAATTTATGATCTCGACCGAGTTCTGAGGCACAGTGACGCCTCGCCGGGCAGAGAACCATTACTAACGTGTCGTCCGCCCATGACGTGACACGCGGTCACTCTCAGGTTGATGCCCTGATAGGACATCACTGATTGGAGATATGCTATTTACTAATTCTTGGAATTTACAACACATGCACGTATTCTTTACATTATTTGATGCCTATCACAACACTTACGAATTATAAAGCGCTATCTAATTTATGCAACCTTGGAAATACATTACAATTATCTAATTCACTGCTTTTTATAAATGATGTTTCAATAATATTTCGTTCACTGTACTATACTCATCAATCTCTTTAGTGAACAAACAATGCATTAAACTCTTGATCTGAACTTATACTATAATGTATTTTTTTACTTTTATTTTCTGGTCAAGATGTTTACCCGTTTGACCAACATAGAACTTATAACAATCTTTTCATTGAATTTAATACACAATGAAAATATTCTTTGCAACTTCCTGGGGAATTTTTAATGAGGGTGTTTTTTATATCGCATTCCTAAATCCTACATTGACAAAATTATTTGAGTAGCTTAAGAATTTGATTGAAGTCATCATAAAAAGGTCGAATTGTTGAATTCTGAACAATGTATTCATTTTTTAAACTAAATAACTTATTTCGAGAAATTTGGCTACCTTTGTCAATGAAAGAATTGATAATTTAAATAAAAACCAAAACTATACAGTATGCAGGCGATGAGTCACAATAACGTGGCTGAAGTATGTTGACCAGACCACACACTAGAAATTGAAGGGACGACGACGTTTCGGTCCGTCCTGGACCATTCTCAAGTCGATCGACTTGAGAATGGTCCAGGACGGACCGAAACGTCGTCGTCCCTTCAATTTCTATACAGTATATGTCATTAATTCCATCGTTGAGTACAAACTCCTTAGAGCCCTCAGAAACATAGAAGAAAATACTGCTTGTTTTGTTCTTTAATGTTGGCGTCAGTAAAAATGTCAACATTTATTGGCTTTCTATTAACAGAAAACTTGAAATTATTTTCTCATTTATAAATAAGCACATCCAAGAGGGAGGAAACTCTCACGTTGAAGCCACCAAGCCATTACAACTATATAGCACTTGAAATATCATCTAAGAATATAAGGAATTGTCTTGTTCAATTTTCATTGTAAACTTAATTGATAGAGCTACACTTAGGCTGAAGGCAAAACACATCATCAACACAGCCAAACATGTGGCCTGTCGGCTGAGTGGACAGTGCTTGGGATTCGTAGTCCAAAGGTTCCGGGTTCCATCCCCGGCGGAGGCGGAAACATTTGTGCAGAGTTTCTTTCACCCTGATGTACCTGTTCATCTAGCAGTAAATAGATACCTAGGAGTTAGACAGCTGCTATGGGCTGCTTCCTGGGGATGTGTAACAAAAAGGAGGCCTGGTCGAGGACTAGGCCGCAGGGACGCTAAGCCCCGAAATCATCTCAAAATAAGGCTCGAGATAGGAGGCAGCATTCCATGTTTGTTGGCTGTCATAATGTTTCTTCAGGTGAATCAAAAAGTTAGGTTCACTCACAGTAACGGAAGTACAGCTGTCATAATTTCCAAAATGTGTGCAAATTGTGTTTGATAACACGATGGTCAGTCGTGAAGAGTTTCAAATGTTTTCTAATCCTTATCACAGAGCGCGTTAATAATATTGGCTGCAAAACCTCAACATGGACTCCAGCATTACATCATCGAGCTCCTTGTGTAGAAATAAGTTATTTTTCCACTTCATAACTTATCATTGCTTGCAGTTGTTACCTATCGTACGTTACGGCTCGTGACCCTACAGCAGCCAAACTTTAATTACGTCTAGGGATACGAGACAACTGCTGTTCTCAATAGCGAATCACCAGTATAACCCCTTGATAAGTAATGAGCACAATAATAAATCTTCCTTAGGACTGAAGAATAGATACACAATCTTATATAAAATTATATTAAATAAATCTCAATAGCAAACAGATGATTATATGGTCACAATATATCACATTAAAAATATCACTGTATCTTCCAGACATTAAATTAAAATTATTATATGTATGGCTATGACAGAACAAAAATGTATAACTTAACTCCCACTAGATGTTATCTCCCTGGTTCCAGATCAGCTACTGAATAAAATAACGCGAGTCAAAAAACATTGCCTTGCCCCGCGAACAATTTGCCAAAGTTACAATATTTATTATTTCAACAATGGAGCAATACATTGTGACAAGAGTAATCTTAAACTAACTTAATGAATAATTAATACATATTGATATACAAACATAAGGTACTTAATTCTTTACATAGTAATTAAAATATGCATACAGAAGGAAATAATGGCATGCACACCCAGCAACGGACGATCCCACGACAATTTGCCAGATACAGTTCACTCAATTATTATTCACCTCTGTTACCCACATATGATCACATATAAATCATTAGTTCCCGTGGGAAAACTGAGCACACAAAGAAATAAAACAATCATTCCCACGATACGTTGGGCCTAACGCCAACACTGTAACATGAATGTACGTTTGCATAGAACATATAAGTATATCAATATACATGCTTGTAATTTACACACAATTATAAATGTACATATTAATTTATTTTCTTACGTATCTTATAGGAGTACGTAACACTTCCACCTCCAAGAAAAAAAATGCAATGGATTGAAGATCAATGGCATTTTTTCCGAAGTAAAAATATTAAGTGAAAAGAAACATTTCATTTATGGTACATCAAAACTTCTTGACAAAGCATCAGCAATAACATTTTGCCTGCCTGGAATATGTTTGATTTCTACATTAAATTCATATGCACCATCAGGTGTAATAAAAGCAGTAACCTCTCTTGCATACTCTGTTAATGGAATTTGGTAGTAGCCTTTTGACAAATCAAGCTTACTTACATATTCGGCATGTCCTATGGACTCAATACATTCCTCCAACAAGGGTAAAGGAAAAACGTCCACTGTAGTGTTCTTGTTCAGTTTCCTATAATCCACGCACAATCTCCAGGTTCCATCTGGTTTTGGCACTAACAAACACGGAGAGCTCCAAGTACTTTGACTTGGCCGAATGAAATCATGCTGGAGCAGATATTCCACTTCTGCTTGCATAATTTTCCTCTTTTCGGGATTCACTCGGTACGGATGTTGTCGAATGGGGGTGCTGTCCAGGAGCTGAATGTCGTGTGTGATGAGGTGGGTCTGGGTAGGAACCTCTCCAAACAGAGATGTATGGTGGTCCAGCAGAGCCTGGAACTCATCACGTTGTTCCTCCTGTAAATGACATAGCATCTCCCTGCCATTGGAACTGGAACTGAGAAGTTGGATATTAACATGTCCCTCACTACAATTATCCTCAGGTGGTAACTCT